TAATTTATTTTGATAGTCTAATTGATATACCTTCTACTTAGAGATTCTTGCCTATCTGAATACTTCAATCTTGGTATCTGTTTTTAGTAGTTTAGTTTTTATAGTAGCATCATTAAAGATTTGTACTATTTTTATAACTAGCAAATTATTTATTTATTTATTTTTTTTTGTGTTAAACTAGCTTTTTTTGGAGCTAGAGCTTTTTATTCAGTAGTTAGAATATAGGAACCCATAAAGGAGTCTCCTTACATTAGAGAGTACAACTAGTTACATATACACTTTTGGTGTCTAATTAAGTAGTCTGTTTATGATTCTATACTAGCTATTATACCTGCAATCCAACTAGAGATGTTGCCTATTTAAACCCTCTGTCTGCAATCCTTACTATATCACTAGATCATCTTTGCTATATAAGTCAGTTGAAAAGATTTAAATGCTTATCCATATCCTTAGAATCTTATATATTATTTTATGCAATATATTTTCAAAAGCATCATTACTAGAGCCTTCTGTGTCCCATATACAGCTAACCTAGTTTTATATAATATGCTATAGTTATCTAATACTTGCAGTCAGTGCTAACCTTAAACTGCTATATTACACTATTTCTACCTTTGTAAAGTTTATTAGAACCCTAGTATCTATCTTCTTGGCATCTTCTTTATCATTCTCTATTAGCTACAACTCAGAACTGGCAGTTTATTCCAGACTACCAATCCAGATAGCCCAGTATGGTATACTTCTGTATCCTTTTCTTCTAATAAATCTAGTGGTCTAGTTGGTTATATGCTTCTTTATATATTTATATTTGATGTTCAGTTTAATCTTTGGTTTCTATAAAGATGTTTTGTAAGCTTCAACCAGTCTGATAGTACTGTTAAAAGTTTATGCTACCTCTTTACTTAGGAATTTTTAAGTGGGTTTCTGTTATTTCAGTTTCTTAATCTTTTATATCCAATGGTCTTATTGTGGATTTGCACTGAAGTCTTATGCAATACCAGTTATATATTCCTCTAGTACATGTAATGTTACACTTTGCATAGATGTTCTGAGCTCCTAATATTAGTAGAACTCAACTTGGTATATTTGGATTACGACTGCATAAGGCCAACCAATCAACAAGAAACAGTTATTATAATATAGATATAATTTTCAAATTTTGTCATAAGTGGGATTTGAACTTTAGACCTGCCACTTGGAGAATGACAACCCAACTACTACACTAGGATCACCATCCTTATAACTAGCAAATTATAAGGCATTTAAATAATTTTAGTTATATAAAAAAAATAAACTAGTACTGAGTAGTGCAAATTTAAAATAAGTTTTTGTAACTATGTATATTTATAAAATTAAAAAACAAAAACCTATTAGAAAAAATCCAAATAAAGTTATAATATAAAGTTTTAATAATATGAATATAAAATCTAGATTTAAAAAACAAATATTAATATAAAAAAGCTAATCAAACAAGTATTTCTAAATAAGAAGTAATATTAATCAAACTGCTAGATTAAGATTAAAAAAATTATTAGAAGATGTAACAACTTAGTAAAGTAAATAAGTTGTTAACCCTTAAGTAACAAACTGTAAGTTTAAAACCTACTAATAGCAAAATTTAAATTCTTATCTGTATTATAGCAACTAGGTTTTTTTTTTGGTGTTAAGATACTTTTTTGGTCTTTTGACTTTTTATTAATAACTTTTTGATAATGTAATTTAATGAATCACTACAGAAGAGTGTACAATTGGCTACATTTATAACTTTTCTATATTATTTATTTAAAAAGTCTGTTTAAAGGTTTCTTACTAATTGTTATATATAATATTCTTACTTGAATGTTCTGCTTTAAACTTTCTAAACTTGCAATCTGTGATAACTGTTTTTAATAATTAAATTAAAATACCTATAATTATAATTATATTAACATAACTGACAGATTATAAAGCATCTATATACCTAGTTATATAAAAAAATACAAACTGGCATTAAGTAATACAAACTTAAGTTAAGTTCTTGTAGTTATATAAATTTATAAAAATTAATAAACAAAAAGCTTATTTGAAAAAACCCAAACAGAAAAATAACATGAATTTTTAACAGTACTACATATTATAAAGCTAATTTTATAAAATAAATATTAATATAAAAGAACTGAATAAGCAAGAACCTCTAATAAGAGGTATTACAACTAAACTGTTAAAATCAGATCAAAAAAATGAATATTAGGCTAATTTAATATACTAATAAACTGGCTATAATTCTATTAGACTATTCAAATTAGAAATCTAAAAACAAATGCAAAGTATTTCAGATATATTATGAAGTAGTACTAGAATTTAGATAAACTTTATAAGAACATAATAGTTTAATAACTTGTTTTAATTACAAATATTAATTTAGCTATAGTAATAGTAAGTTAGTTATAAAATAAATATACAAAAGACTTTAAAAAATTTATCTTAAGAATAAAATAGTCTTAAAATTAAAACAAATATTTAAGTATAACCTAGTAAAATTAATATAGATTGCAAGTTTAGAAAGTTTAAAATTGAATACTCAAGCAAGAATATTAGATATAACAATTAATAGACAAATTTTTTAAATAAGTAATATAGAAAAGTTATATATATAATTAATTGTACATTTTTCTTGTAGTAGTTTTATATAGAACACATTACTAAAGTGTTAATAAAAGTTAAAAAATCTCTTAAAAAAAATTAAATTAACTTAATATACTAAAAACATATTATTTAAATTAAAATTTAAAAATAAAACAAAAATATACTAAAGTATTAAAAATATGTTATAAAGTTAGTATTAGAATTAATAATCTTTGTAAAAACATAATATTGTTAATAAAACTATAAAATAGATAAATTAGTTAATAAAAAAACCTTGAGCTACTGTTAAGTAATATATATAACAGCCTATATATAGTTTAAAAAAAATATATATATACTGCTCGGACAGTATATATAAGTATATATAAGAAGTTAATAGTAGATTAAGGTTTGATAAAAAGAGATTATTAGAAGATTTAAATAGATAATCTTTTAGTAGATTATAAGTATAACATTTAGTATAGAATTTTAAAACAGACTATTTAACTATTACTAATAATTAGGTTAAGATATTTGTAATAATAATTATATAAGCATAACTGGCAGGTCATGAGACATTTGTATAATAGTTATATGATATTATTCTTTGAAACAAAGTCTGTAATTATATGAAAAAATACAAACTGGCAATCAGGTAATATAAATACTAGATAAATTCTTGTGATCATGTAAATCTGTTGAAATTAGATAACAAAAAGTCCATTTGGAAAGACCTGAATAAAAAGATAGCTGAATCTTTAATAACTCTATTGTAAAGGCTAGCTTGGAGAAATGGATACCAAGGTTATAATATCTGATTATAGTAACTGAATAGACAAGAATCTTTGAGTTGGAAGTCTCAGAAATACTACTAATCAGACTGCTAGAATAAACTGAAGAAAAAGAATATTAGGCTAACCTGAAATACTAATAGATTTGTCATAATTCTATACAGCCTATTGAATTAAGAGTTTGGTAAAAAGATAAGTGAAAAGACAGAGGTATACTAAAGTACTAGAATTATGCTATAAAGTAAATAATAGGATCTAAGTAAACTCTACAAGGACATAGTGGTTTAATGGTTAAGCTCTAATTACAAATGTTGGTTCTGTCATAGCAATATCTAAATCAACTATAAAAATATATACAGAAGGCTCTAAAAGGTTTACTTCAAGGATAAAATAGTTTTAAGATTAAGACAATAATCTGAACATCAGATATGATTTAGTGAAGTTAACAGGTTTGCAGATTCAGAAGGTTTAAAATAAAATACCCAAGCAGAGGTGTTAGATATGGCAATTGGTGAGGAACCTTTAGACAGACTTCTTAAATAGGTAATATAAAAAAAGTTACATGTGTAACAATTGTATACTCTTTCTGTAATGGTTCACTAAACCACATTTACCATTGTTAAATAAAGTCAAAAAACCCAAAAGGTCATCTTAACACCAAAAAAAAAAAAAAACAGACTACTTAAATAAACAACAAAAAGTTACATATATGTTTAGTTATATTCTTATATCTGTAAAAAATATTGTATTAACTAATTTCAAATTACTAATAAATTATCACTGCAAAGTACAGATTTTTTTTTAAAAAAAATAAACAAATTTATTTTAAATTCATATAAAAAAATAACATAAATAAAAATTGTTTTTTGTAAGTTTTTATTTTTGAATAAAAATATAATCTATCAAAAAAAACTTTAACCTAACATTCTTTTTTTTTATAACTATCTAAAATAACTTCAAAATTTTCATAACTTTAATCTCATCAGTTTAGGTTGTTTTATACTTATTTGAGCATGTTGCTAAAATATAACTATAACAATTCAAACATAACATATCGCCTAAATGAACATAAGATGGCAAAGCATTATTAGCTTGATTTTTGGTAACAACAAAATCAGTCACCTTTCTCTAGTTGTTCGACTTTTCTTGGCATATGAGTGCCGCCAAGGAAAATGGTACTTCGGGGTTTCAATTATATTTTATGCCGGGCATAATCTTTAATAAATGCGTCCGATACGAAATATAATTGAAAAGTCCAAAGTTACATTTTTCCTTGGCAGCACTCATATAGTAATTACACACAGTCCAAGTAGATTATTAGTTAGTGTCTTCTAAGTGAAGTTTTCAGGTTTCCGATCTTTTTCCGATTATTTTGTTCAGTGAATTTACGCTAATGATAAAAAAAAAATCGTATTTTTTATTAGCGAAGCGTTGCGTTCTCAGAAAATCCTAACCCTAACCTAAAAAAACGAAACTTTTTTGGTGGCGATTTTACCCCGTCTGCTCGCATTACATAATTGTTTACTAATTTCTGGCCGGAGTTAACTTTTTAACTTGTTATTCCGAAAATATATAAAGGGAAAAAAGAATTTTATCCGAAAAAAAATGACTACCTTTCAAGATATTATTAAAACTCTGGTCCTTAAGTCAGATGAATTTACCGCGGTTCACGCGCGAATCGCGTTAGATGCGATAATGAAACGACAAGCGACATCAGCTCAGGTTGCTGCTTTTTTGGTCGCTTTGAAGTTAAACAATAAAGAGTATGTTCCGGAGATAATAGCAGCTTGTTCTGAATCCTTACATAACTTTGCCTTGGAAATAGACTTTTCATTGTATAATGGTTTACATGATTCTCTCATTGATGTGGTTGGAACTGGTGGCGATGGAATGGATACTTTTAACGTTTCAACCACTGCAGCAATAGTCATTGCCGGTGCTGGATGCAAAGTAGCTAAAGTATGAAATAATGTAGTATTTTTTTTTATATACATATATATTTTTCTTAATTTGCTATCCATGACTGATTAAAGATAATGAAATAGTTTGGTAACAGAGCTGCTTCATCACGATGTGGATCTGCGGATATTCTTGAAAAAATCGGATGCAAACTCACTAACGTAACACCTTCAAACGTTCCACACATAATTAACTCTACGAATTTTTGTTTTCTTTTCGCGCAAACTTTTAATCCTGCCGTAAAGCATGTAGCGGACACGCGACGCGAGATTGGTATACCAACCATATTCAATTTATTAGGACCTTTGAGTAATCCAGCAAGGCCTAAACGGGTTGTAATGGGTATACATTCAAAGTTTTTAGGAAAACTGATGGCTGATGTGTTGGCATTAAAGGGAGTTAAGGAAGCTATGGTAGTTCATGGTGATATTGGATTAGACGAAGTGAGCTTTAAATTATTATGAGTTGTTTGCACGTTTGTCGCATTGATTATGACTGACTTTATTCCCTTTTGATCGTTGCAAAGATTAGTCCTGAGGGCCAAACCTTTGTAAGCTTATTCAAAACATATTACGAATTTTATTATTTATTATTTTAATTAATTTTATTTATAATATTCAATTAGATTTGGCATCTTTCAAATTCAGAGATCAAAGAATACGTCGTCACACCATCCGATTTTGGATTGCCTAGTCATCCAATAAGTGCAGTTAAAGGAGGTACTCCTACCGATAATGCAGAACTTTTAATTCGGCTGCTCTCTAATGAATATGAAGGACCGATTTTAGATTTCGTGCTTTTAAATTCTTCTGCTGCATTGGTTGTTTCTGGACTAGCAAAAGATTTTAAGGACGGTGTAAGAGTAGCTCGTGAAAGTATTTTAAGTGGTCGTGCTAAAAATGCACTTGAGGAATTCAAGAGACAAATAAAGGACTGATTTATTTTAAAAATATAATATATTACAGTATCAGATGGCGAAAAACATTAAAGTTTTTTGAAAAAAATTGTCTATATGTTTTGTTTACTAATTAAAATTAATTTTATTAAAATTTTGAAGTTTTTAAAAATAACATTTGTTGTGTTGTAAATTTATTGTAAATATGATTATTAGTTATTTTTAGATTTAGATTTTTTGTTTAAAATCTGTTTGCTATAGATAAAGTTTGTTATAATTGGTTGGTTTTTTTGTTTTTTTTTTAAGTAATTATATTAGTACTTTATTAAGATTCTTGAAACTATTTTTATAATTACATAATAACTAAGTTTAGCATTACTTGGCCATTCTAAGTGTAACTTGTTATATTACTTAAAACAAATATAGATTATTTGTCTGATTACTTAAAGTTTATAATGAAAGAGGATTTTTTTTTTATAACAAATCTTAATATTGTTTTTCAAATTTTTTTTTCAATTCATTTTTCTTTTTTTTTCATTTATTAATTTTTTTTTTTTTTTTTTTTTTTGATATTAAGATGACCTCTTTTGTCTTTTGACTTTTATTAATCACTTATTGGTCTTGTGGTTCAATGAATCACTACAGAAGAGAGTACAATTGGCTATATGTCTAACTTTTCTATATTACCTATTTAAGGAGTCTGCCTGAAGGTTCCCTACTAATTGTTGTACTTAACATCCCTGCTTGGATGTTTTATTTTAAACCTTCTGAATCTGTAACCTGTGTTAACTCACTGAGTCATATCCAAATGCCCAAATCATTGTTTCAACCTTAGAACTAATTTATCCTCAAGGTAAACCCTCTAGAGCTTTCTGTATTTATTTTTACAGTTGATCTAAGTATCACTATAGCAGAACCAACACTTGTGATCAGGATTGATTATTAAACCGTTATGCCCTTATAGAGTTCACTTAAACCCTAGCATCTACTTCACAGCATAACTCTGGTACTTTAGTATACCTCTGCCTTTTTACCTGCCTTTTTACCAAACTTCTAATTCAGATAGCCTATATAGGACTATGATCAGTTTATCAGTATATCAGATCAATCCAATATCCTTTTTTTCTGATTTATTTTGGCAGTCTGGTTGGTGGTACCTTCAAGACTTCTAACCTGAAGGTTCTTGTCTGTCCAGCTACTATGACTGGGTACTATGGCCTTGGTATTCATTTCTCTGAGTTAGCCTTTACAATAGGGCTATTAAAGTTTCAGTTATCTCTTTATTCAAATCTTTCCAAATGAACTTCTTGTTAGCCAATTTCAACAGATTTAAATGGTTACAAGAATTTATCTAATATTTGCATCACCTGATTTGTTGGTTTGCATTCTTCTGTATAATGTTATATTTACACAGATGTCCTATAACCTGCCAGTTATGCTGGTGCAACTGTTATTACAGGTATCCTAACCCAATCATTAGTAACAGTTGCTATAAAATGATTATCCAAATTTTTGTTATTGATAGGATTTGAACATCTAACCTACCATTTGAAGGGTTAACAACCTGATCACTTTACTAGGTTGCCACACCTCTATTTATTAATTTTTCATTTTATGTTTTTTAAATATGTTTATAGAAAGTATTTCAAATTATTTTTATTATTATATTTACAAATTGTTGATTTGATTTTATATTTAGAAGTTGTTAAAATTAGGTTTTAAATTAATGTTTTTCTTATTTTTATTTAATCTATTTTTACTTTTTTTTTTTTTTTTGGTGTTAAGGTAACCTCTTGGGTCTTTTAACTTTATTTAATAATAGTAAATATGGTTCATTGAACCATTACAAAAAAAGTGTACAATTAGTTACATGTATAACTTTTTTATATTACCTATTTAAGGAATCTGTCTAAAGATTCTTTACTAATTGCTATATTTAATATCTTTGTTTGAGTATTCTATTTTAAATTCTCTGAACTTGCAAACCTGTTAACTTCACTAGGTCATATTTGATGCTTAGATCATTATCTCAATTTTAGAACTATATTATCTTTGAAATAAATCCTCAGAGTCTTCAGTATCTATTTTTACAATTGATCTAGATATTACTATAACAGAACCAATATTTGTAGTCAGGACTTAATCATTAAACCACTATACTCTTGTAGAGTTCACTTAGACCTCAATATCTACTTTATAGTATAATCTTAATACTTTAGTATATTTTTGTCTTTTTACTTATCTTTTTATCAAACTTTTAATCCAGATAGCCCATATAGAACTACAACTAGTCTATCAGTATATCAGATTAATCTGATATTCTTTTTTTTAGTTTATTCTGATGGTCTGGTTGGTGATACCTCTGAGACTCTTAGCTCAGAGATTCTTACCTATCTGGCTACTATGACTGGGTTGGATACTACAACCTTGGTATCTGTTTCTCTAAATTAGCTTTCTACAGTAGAGTTATTAAAGATTTAGCTATCTCTCTACTTAGATCTTTTCAAATAAACTTCTTGTTACCTAATTTCAACAGATTTGTATGAATATAAGAACTTATTTAGTGTTTGTATTGTCTGATTTGTCAGTTTGCATTTCTCTATATAATGCTATACTTACATAGATATTCTATGACCTGCTAGTTATATTGGTATAACTGTTATTATAGATAATCATTAGTAACAGTTTCTATAATATGAATATTATATAGATGATTATTTAAATTTTTACTATTAATAAAATTTGAACATCCAACTTACCACTTGAAGGGTTAACAACCTAACTACTTTACTAGATCATCACATCTCCTCAATTTTTACTTTTTTGAAAATATTATATATAATATATATGAAGAGATTTAAATCTTTTTTTTTTTTATGTTTTTTCATACTATTGTTATAATAATTTTTTGAATTCTTTTTTAAGGATTTGTTTGTTTCTTATATAATACTAGATATGCTTGTAGCTTTTTTTATTTTGTTTTAATATATTTGGTATTTTGCTATTGTGTATATATTTAATCTTTTTCTATTAAGTTTTTTAAAAGTTGAAAGTTTATTTATTATATATTTTATAAACATATTATTTTTTATACTATTTCTATTTATTATACAATATACTTCTTTAAAGTTTTCAAAAATATATCTAATTATAAAACATAAACTCAAGGGTGTGGTGACTTAGTGAAGTGGATAAGTTGTCAATCCTCCAAGTGGTAAGTTGGAAGTTCAAAACCCACCGACGGCAAAAATTTGAAAAACCACCTATGTTACATTGATGTATACGGGCATCTGTACAATGTTGGAGTTACACAGAGGAATGCAAACCGGCATTGGGCAGTGCAAACACAAGATAAGTCCTTGAAATCAGTAATACGGCAATGGCTATCTATCGATCAGTTGGGATCAGTACTTGTAACACAGTCACACCAGATAACTGGCAGGTTATGGGGCATCTGTGGCTATGTAAATCCATGAACTGGGATAACCGAAGCCCACTTGGGAAGACCCGAGCAGAAAGGTAACACAGATCTTTAACAGTACTACTGTAAAGGCTAGACCTAGAAAACGGATACCAATGTAGAAGAAATCGGGCAGGCAAGAACCTCGGGTGAGAGGTACCACCAACCAGGCCACCAGAAGTCTCGAACCGGAGGAAAAAGGACCTTGGGGGGCAGACCCTGGGGTACCAGTGACAGGTCACAGTCCTATCAGGCTATCTGGATTGGGAGTCTGAGGTCGGAAACAGGGGAATGCTAAAGTACTGGGGATATGCTATGAAGTCAGTGCTGGGGTCTGGGTGAACTCTGCAAGGGCGAGCCCTATTAGCAAAGATTAAATGTGGGTAGTTAGTTAGCAGGGGGTCTCCTTGAGCCCTATAGATAGGTGACATACTCTGAAATATGTAATGGCTTGACAGACTTACAAACAGGAAGGTCAAGGTTAGGTTAGACGGCATCTAATTAGGTGTACGGGAGCTTGCGCTGCTATCTGCTAGTGTAGTATAGGGGTAACCTTGTACAAGTTATGTAATCATAATTGAATTCACAATAAAGGCAGTAGCCGCCATAACTAATGGCCTTAGCGAAAGCAAAAAAATAAAAAATAAAAAATAAAACATAAACTCTATTTTTGGTTTTAAATTTTTATTTACTTTTATTTTTTTTTATTTTGCTTTTAATTTAATATTTGTTACTAATTTACATAGAAGTCTTATTAGTATATTAATTTATTTTTATTTTTATTTTTTTTGTTTTAGCAATCTTGCTGATTATTTTTATTAAGATTTTTGTATATATATTTTATATAAAATTGGTTTAAATTTTGGTTTAACATCTTTTAGCTACTTTTATGAATGTTTAGAAGTAGTTTATCATACTGACCAAAAATTAATCAGGTTAGAAAGCTATACCAAGCTAGTTACAGGATCATAAAAAAATAGTCCAATTTTATTCTCTATAAAATTAATAACTAAATCTAATCATAAACTTTATATTTTTTTTTTATTCTTTTTTTTTTTCTTCTTTATAGTTTGGTTTTGATCTTCTAATTGATCTTCTTCTATTTTTTGTATCAGTCTGCTTACAATAATGTTTTTTAATATATTTTCTTTTTGTTTTTTCTTTGTTGGATTAATTTTATTTGCTTTTTCCTAGTTGGTTACTTCTTTATAATATTTTTTCTATATGTTTTTAAAAAAACTATTTTATATTATATTTGTTTATATAGTAAGAAATTCTTTTGCTTCTTTAAAGATTTGGATAAGACTTTGTAATGTTGTTCTGGTTTTTTCTTGTATTAGTCTTTTCATACTTTTGAATCTATATTTTATTTTTTCTTTTAATAAATCTTTTTATAAGAATTTAGTTAGTTTATATTTACTTATCTTTTTATAGGTCTCTTTTAAAAATACTGTTTAAACTAAGTTAATAATTGAATTTTCTATAGTCATCCAATCTCTTTTATAAAGCTAAGTTTCTTGGTCTTCTTCTTTGTCTTTATTATATAGAATACAATATGGTTTTTATATATATTTAGTTATCT